GGCGGATGAAAAAAATCTGCAGCAGTTATTATAAACCTATTTATGAACAAAGTAAAATGTTTTTGTATATTTGTTTTATTATAGGAAGAGTTGGTATTTTATATTTATGTATAATCTACTTTGTGTATTCTACTAGAAATATAATTACATTACACTTTATTGCTATTTTTAACAATCCAAAGATTCGCATTAAATAAGTAACAAACAAAATTACATTAAATACAAAATCAACTTTTTGAATGGAATTGAAACTTATTACAAAGGGAGTAAAAACTTAAATCATTGTATAGTATTAGAAAGAAGCCGCTAGCTAAAACCGTATATCGTGATGTAAGTTACAGGCGTTACAAAGTCACGGAAGTAACAGTCGTGACAAAATCACGATGATTTATCACTGTGATTTTTTTGGAACCGGAACGACGGTCACGGCGATAGAAATGTAACGCTATTCCCCATGTCTAATGTGCTTCTAATCACCAGCACCATTGACAGGTTATGATGTCGATGACCAGCACCTTTAGCGTTTAAAACCGGAATACAGTAATGCTGACTTTACTGCTTGGCGACAGAAATAGGTAAGGTGGCTAATACTAGGGTCGGCGGACTAAAACACATAAGTTAAAATCCAACATCATTCATTTAAATTAATACATCTACTGGCTAAAGCACATAAGTCAAATTCATTTGTTACTTCATACATTTCGAACTTTATTCTAGAGGTTATTTAACTTCCAACACTAAAAACAACACAAAAAAATATATAATTATATATTAACAAATGAAGCACTTTTTTGACTTATGTGCTTTAGTCTGCCGACCCTAGTACTACTCCGGACGAACTTTCACAAGGAGCTCTTCTGTTACTAAATCTCTTAATTTTTGTATCGTCTCGCCTTTGAAGAGCAGAATACCCAAAAATTGCAATGGCAGTTGAATAGTAGCCCGATGGGTAACCTATCACAAACACGGATTTTTTTTATCGAAATAACGTTCGAAATTTCATTACACCGAAAACAGAATTAAAATAATAAGGAAACTGCTGTTCTTTCGGTATATGTTGGAAGTTTATTCCACAGACATGATTAGGTTCGGTTAGGTTGACCCACTACTTTTAACTTTTAACAGAATACCAGACGTAATGATTTCAAATTTGCAGACTTGGTGCACTGGACGCAACGATTTCGCTTCTTCTAGACAAGGCTTAGACTATTCTTTTATTTTTTTCCATCCTCTAAGAGACAAGGCCTTAGTGCAAAGTGCTCTCAAAAAGTTGTGATATCAAAAAAAAAACAACAGTTTGCTTTGACATGAAAAATCAGATTTAATAATTTTAGTGAAAAATGTAGCGCAAAAAATTTACCAATGCTATTTTCGAAATAAAGATCAAAATCCTTCAACAAAATTAAATCGAGAGGGTGGCCTGAAACATAAATACATAATGGATATATACTCCGCTATTTAAAACAAAGTATTAAACATGAAGTAATATGTATGTAAGTATGAATTGCCTTATTTCTGTGGCAATGTTTCGACTTATTCGAAGAACAGAGTACTATGTGATTACACAGTGGAAGTAAAAGAGAATAAATTATAATCTCGTTATTAAAACTTAGGCGCTCCGCAGATGGAGCAACATTAGTTGACTCAACTGGCACCGTTTTACAAGTTTCCTTTAATGGTTGCCGGTTGTAACAACTAGAAGGCCAAGTTGCCAGTTGCCGCAATTTTAAATAAACTCCACGGTGAAGACGCTGAGAGCGACGGGGAGTGAGTGAAGTTGCATCACGAGTTGCGGTTGCCGGTAGCCACTGCAACTGGAGACAACCGGTACAAATTTGCAAGTTTCTAGCTGAGGCAATTAAGAATTTATTTATGATTTCGAACGATTTCGACGGAAACTCTCAACTGAAATTGCTATACCTGCGCGGTTTCTTGAGATTATATGAAAAGCGTCATAAAGAGCTAGTTGCGGGTTGCCAGTTGTCGAAACTCGACGGTCAAAGTTGCTCCATCTGCGCAGCCCCTAAGACGTAGGTATCCATGGGTGTTTTCAGAATTG